TGTCTCCTTTTTTATCCCCTATACGTAAACTAAACTCCTGGATAGCCTGCAGCACCCTAGGCACACGCCATGCCCCCCCCAGCAGCTCTATTGCTTCTATATCTCCTTCTGCTGCTGCTGCTGCTGCTGCTGCTGCTGCTGCTGCTGCTGCTGCTACTGCTGCTGGAGTTACAGGTTCATGTTTATCTGCTGCAGCAGCAGCAGCTTTTGTTGCTGCTGCTGCTGCTGCTGCTGCTGCTGCTGCTGTCTCCTCTATATCCTCAAGGAGACCACTGGTCTCTATCAACCTCTCTAGCTGCTGTCTCTGTATTTGTTTATGTAAATCTTTCTGTTTATATAAACCCTCAATTAATATTTTTGTTGTTTTGTTTGTACTTAATATCTTCTTTGCTGCTGCTGCTCTGTTTTCTAGTTTTTTCATCGCCCGGGGAGATAAACCCTTCTCTCCGTGCTGCTCCTCAAACGCCCTGCACACAAACCCTAAACCCTAAACCCTAAACCCTAAACCCTAAACCCTAAACCCTAGAAATAAAAAGGGAGAGAGAGAAAGGGTTCATGCAGTGCAGGATACGCTTTTATAGTACATACATACACGTAAACCCTAAACCCTAATATACAACTCTACTAAACCCTAAACCCTAAACCCTAAACCCTAGGAAACAAAACAAGTTAAGCCTACCGCTAAACCCTTGCACTAAACCCCAAAACAAAACGAAACCCTCAACCCCAAACCCTCAACCCTAAACCCTAAACCCTCGTAGCAAACCCTAAACCCTAAACCCTAAACCCTAAACCCTAAACCCTACCGTCTGAGCTCCTCCGCCAGCAGCAAATCAACGGTTCTGCCTCCTCCCTTTGTGCTGCTGCTGCAGCCTAAGACAGTTACTTGCGGCACAACCTCCCCCCCCTTGCTGCTGCTGCTGCTGCTGCTGCTGCTGCTGCTGCTGCTGCTGCTGCTGCTGCTGCTGCTGTTTTTAAAGGAAACGACAGCAGCATCAACAGTGCTGCTGCCTACATTAAGCATCATTTTTATTCCGTCTGCTGCAGCAGCTGGAGCTGCTGCTGCTGCTGCTGCTGCTGCTGCTGCTGCTGGAGTTTCTGTTTGCGCCCCTGCTGCTGCTGCAGCTGGCGGTGGTGTTGTTGTCTTTGCTGCTGCTGCTGCTGCTGCTGCTGCATCGTATCTATCAAGCGCGTGCTGCACTGCAGCAGCAGCACCATGGGAGACAAACCCCAGCAGCCTAAACCCCGCTATCTCTATACTGTCTCTTAGTGCTTGTCTTTGTCTTTGATTATATAAACAGGGTACGGAGACAACAACACCAAGAGAAGCAGCAGGAGATAGGTTTGTTGCTGCTGCTGCTGCTTGTCTTATATAT